TCCAACATTGAACTAAAACCACTATTTCCAGCAAATAGTAACTGACTCATGATGTGAGACTTGTTTTACAGATTTTCTATTTAATAGATTTTGTTGAAACCAAATTAGCAAAGTCCTAATTACTATGTGCCATTTACCATGATATAAAAATAGTATTGCTAAGCAAAACTCAGATATATTAAAGTGGTTTCATTACTAATATTTTACCTGTGGTAACCAAAATGAACTTTTATCTAGTTATGTCACAATAATCCAAAAGAATCTTGGCATTCATACCATAGGCAAGCTTTTCAGTAGAAAACATAAAGACCTTAGAAAGTACATAAATAATTTACTTCAAATGTTCACCAAAATGAAGTTAATGTCCAAATTTTAGATGGCTAAATATTTTCTAGATTTGGCCTTTTCCAGATTGTCATTCAATAATATATTCACCATTGTTCTAGCTGCCATGAGATAAAAATATAATAAAGTAACTTATCCTTAAAGAATTTCCATTTTTGGTGGTGGAATGCTTTTGTGAGAAATCACAAAACATTATAACGACACCCTAGTACATGTAAGTTTAACTACACACTATTTGACCTATCATCGGTATTTGGAAGAATGTATTCATTGTCAGGCACAATGATAGCATCCATGATTGTAGGAGTTTAATTTTCCTAAATTTAATTTTCCTGGTTGTTTTGGCATTGTGATTAGGTCACCATATTTTATCCCAATTAAGCAACTGGCAATCATGTTACAAAACTGCAAGAAAAAAATGTTAACATGGGCCTTGAAGATGAACTCGTTGATTCTGGGGTATATAACAATACTCCAAAGATAGTATACTATCAACTCTCATCTTAAGTGCTTTTACTTGTTCCAGTGGCAGGTAGCATCTTTTTATCAGATAATCTATTTTAAAGACTAAAGTCTTCCCTGGTAAAAGTGCAGGAGTGTGAACCTTTCTTTGGTAAAGTACCTGTTCTATTGATCATGCCAGAAAAAGTTTAGTAGGTGTTTTTAGATTAGTGTACAGTTTTTTTTTCCCCCCAACTATCTGCTTCCAGGAGGTTAAGTTGAAAAGTCTAGTTATTTCAAAAGGGCTACTTGTCCTTATCTCAATTCCACTCAAGTGTAGTCAACAAAAGAAAGAGTGATTTAGGTAGTTTTAACTTTTTGAAAACTGAGTGAGTTTTAGACGAACCACCAAAATGCATTCAAAGTAGTAATGGTTGTTTTTCTAACTTTATTTTTATATTGCTCCATGGTTCTTTGTAACTAAGTCCTTAAAGTTAGAATGTTTTTAATCAGTGAGAAATGTATGCAACAAGTGCTTTAAAGAGGCTGACAGTAAGATGAAATTGGCATTTAATGACAGCAAAGAGCATGATTTGGTAATCAAGAAGTACAACTATTCAAACAGGTAAAAAAAAAAAAATCAAATGTCAGTTACGTTTCATTATTTGCCACTACATAGGCTTTCCCTACCATCCTTCTACAATACCAAGAACTCACTGAAAAAGCTTCATTAATTCAGAAGGATCAATTGAAAGTGTACTTCTAATAATGTAAGTTCAAATTCTCTTTTAAATACAGATTCCTCTGGATTTTTTTCTAATGAATAAGGAAATGGTTTTTGGTCAAGATAGCTTTCTCAGTTGAAAATTTGTTGTTTTAAGTACAGTTATGTGTCTTAAGTTTGTTAATTTCATTATAAAAAGAGAAGCACAGACAATCTATAATTTTAGGAGACACTCCAAAAGGAAAAAGCTTTGATCTATCTTCTTTCTGAATTACAGTGTCTTGGTTTATTGTATTTTACTGCTTTTTGAAAAGTACATCACACAAACAAAAGATTCCCTTAGCAAGACTTTTAGACTTTTAATTCTTCCTCATTTAGCTTGGAACATCAGCAATTAAAAGTATGAAAACCCAATCTAGATATGATGCAGTTTATGCTGTAGAAGCATACTTTCATAATTTTGAACTTCACTATAGACGCTTTTACTATTGTGATAGTGTTTAGCCACTTTGTGATTACCTCAAGGTGAGAGGTATGACTGGGAGAGGGCACAAGGGAATCTTCTGGGGCACCAGAAATGCCGTCTGTCTTAGTCTGGGTGGTGGTAACACGAGTGTAGGCACACATAAAATTTCACCTAGATGTACACTTAAGATTTACGCCCTTTGTAGCATATCTTATATCTAAAAAGGTAAAAAAAGGTAAAAAAAATGAGTATTTGGCTACTTTATGAAATGCTTAATATTTTTACAGTGAATTATTAATATGATTTTATAAGTCCAAATGTATAGGGGAAAAACAAATTATCTGATGATCATGGCATAAGAATTGCTAGTCTCTTTCAGGTAAATTATATCTGAAGCTAGAGTAAAACAAATGAGAGGTCTCTGGTATTCTATCAGAAATGGTGTCAGGAAGAACACAATGTATCGATTTAACTATAAAGGACAGAAGTGTTAAAACAGAAGCTTAAACAACAACTAGAAGATGAGAACATCATCAAATAAGTGACATGACTACGGCATGATTATGTGATTTATGATTATCCATGCTTTTTACTTTTGCTTTTTACTGTTTCGGTTTTGTCGTTATATTGCTTGGACTTCCAAAGGGTGGGGAAGGAAAAGAATTCAAGTTAAATTAGTTTTGTTTCTTATTTTCAACTGTTGTTTTCAGTGTGGTAAAAAGCTGAAGTTATGACTGTAATTTTAAAATTATGCATTCTACTTCCCCATCTATTATGGGAGAAAAGAGTTGGTTTACACAGGGAATATAAACAATCTGCCTCAAATTTTTTTTTTTTTTACTTTTGCACAGAACTATGTTAATTCTCATCACCTCCAAAAGCCTTTGAGAGGATTAGCTGCATAGACCAATATTGTTCTATATTAGTCAGTATTAAGCATATGATGTCACCTTGTTTCCACCCCTCCTCAAGCTTTTTTTTTTTTTTTTTGGTGGGGGAGGGGAAGGGAGAGTTTTTGGGGAATTCTCAAAATTCTGTGGCTTAAATTCCACTAGCTGACACACATGATTGACAACCTTCCACTCTCAAACCTGTTTGAAATGGGTCAAATACCTAAGCGCTGCAGAACAATGCAACCCAACCAGCAATTCCCCATAAAAGAGAAAGGGGGTGTGATTAGGTTCCAGCTATTAAGTTATTGCAAAAACAGTTTAGTGGTTTGTTTCCGCAACAGTCATAGGTTAAGCTCGTATTTTCTATCTTAATTAGCTCTAAATAAACCACTAGGCTAGAAGAGGTAAGATATATAGCCAAAGCATGGAGCAAGTGGGGCCAACATTAAGAGCGTTACAGAGGTCTTTATACAGACCCTCGGCATCGGTTATCGATCATTAACCCTGCTGGGGAACTTATCGAACGGAATTTGTGTGAGGCTTATCGAGCCACAGGAAAGGAGATGCAGGAGGGAATATAAGCTTCTAATAAAAGAAACGCAGCAACAATAGCAGAGGAACAGCTCTGCCTGGTGACGTAATGGCTGGCAGCAGTCCAGCTTCAGCAGAGCTGCTGCTACCTCAGCATCCAACCTCTCTCAACACAGTCCAGCTTTGGCGGAGCTACCGGGGCCGCTACTTCTTGCGATGCCACTTTGTTGGTGCCACCAACACCTTACCTCGGAGGGCCAAAACACCGAACAAAGGGTTGTCCTGTTTCAAGTTGTCGGAACCCACACTCACTCACTCAACCCCGCCAGCCTCTGAGAAACCGAGTCAATCCGCTTCTTAAGTTTAGGGCGAGAACACTGGCGCACACTCCAGGCGTGCCTCAGTTTCCCCAAGCTGCTCTCGGGTCCGCCTCTCACTGTCCGATTCCCCCCTCCCCCCGGCCCTCAGCCCGAGTTGATCGTCGCGGCCCCGCTCACCCGCCCGGCCCCGCATGCCCGTCCTCCCGCCTTACCTCCGCCAGGTAGAGGTTGAGGAGACAGAGCGTGGAGAACTGGAGACAGGAGGGGAAGCAGTAGAGCAGCCAGTGGGGGAAGAAGTGCAGGTGAGCGGGCGGCCGGAGCAGGGGCAGGGAGCCGCTGAGCGAGAAGGCGGCGGAGAAGAGGGTGGTCCTGAGCGCTGCCCACAGGAGACAGAGGAAGAGGCAGAGGCTCTGGTAACTCAGCCGCCGCTCCCGATAGAGGAGCAGCCGCCACAGCTGCAGGTAGGCAAAGGCGAAGAGCGCGGCGTAGAGCAGGGCGTGCAGGATGCTCAGCGCCAACTGCACCGAGCCCGGCACCGCGGCGCCTGAGGCGGCAGCGACGGCGCCTCCACCTCCGGGCGTCGAGGGCTCGCGGCCGGCCGCCGGACCCGGCACAGGCACCCTCATGAGGGGGCTGGGGAGCGGGCGAGAGAGCGCGGGAAGGAAGAGGCCGGACTCGGAGCCGCCGTCGAGGGGCAGAAGGATTTCCCCCTTACCCCCCACCCACCCCAACCTCCAACCCCAGGAAGCGCCGTGACAGGACCCGGAGCCCCGCGCAGAGCAGCCGCGGTTTTCCGGACCCCGCCTCCTCTCCCCGCCCGCCCCCCCCCTCTCCGGGGGTCTCGGCTCCTCCTGCTGCGGCTCGGCTCGGTAGCTGCAAAAAACAACTCTCGGCTGGAGACAATCAGCTGAGAAACCCGAGCATTTGAGGCGCTCGCTCCGCACCGTGGGCTCGCGCCGATTGGCCCAGGTGGGCACGCCCCCTGCGCGCTGCACTCGGAAGGCCACGGGCCACAGGACCCGTCGCTCGAAGGCTCTGAGATCTGATTGGATACCCACTTTCCTCGCCTTCTCCCTCCCCTCCACTCCCCACCCACACTGCCGATTGGCCCGGCAACTACACGGCCAGCTCGCGCCGGCGGGAGGACTCAGTAGTCTCCTGTCACCTGGGGCGGCTTTCGCTCCGCCCCCTGCGCTTCCCATTGGTTGGAGAGGCCGCACGTAGGGAGCACGAGGAGAGGGAGGAGCCTTGGGGGTTGGTTTTTTTTGTTGTTTTTTTTGTTGTTTTTTTTTTGCTTTGCAGGTCGACCCCTCCGTGCGGTGGTGGCAGTAAGTGTGAAGGGCTTGAGTGCTGTGCTCTATCTAGTAGGTGGGCGCATCGGTTAGCCGCTGCCCGCCAGAGGGGCACGGCGCCGCCTTCTGCCTTTTCTTCACGTGGCGGCAACTGTTGGCTGCGGGAACAGTCCGGGTCCTTCCGGGTAGGTCTGGCCCGCAGGTCTCCGCAGGTAAGTGGCAGCGCTGGTCCCTCAATCGAGGGGGCTGTGGTTTCCGCCAGCACGGATGGGCCGCACCATCGAGTTCTGGAGTTTGGCTTAGAAGGGGCCTCGCCCGGATCCTTCTGAGGGCCGCTTTGCTTTCTTCTTTTTTCCCCCTGCATAAGCGGCGAGAAAAACATGACCCCTTTGTGGGGAGAGAGGATGGAATGAGAAGGGTGAAATGAAGCTTGAAGCAAAAAATTTCCTCGGCAAATGTGTCTTAAAGGAAGAGGGGTATTAGGATGAGATGGAGGTCCAAGCGACAAGTGAGTAGGGGGAATGTGGGTCTTTGAAAGTTAGAATTTGGAAAGATGCTCTGGGCATAAGTTTAGAGAAAAAAGGCAGAAAGAGAACTGTAAGTCGTTGATGAACGTACTGTCTAGGAAGAAGTAGAATAGTTTGTACTCCTTAAATTCCACACGTATTCCTTCAAACCTTAGTCCTGTTTTCGGTGGACGGTGGCGCTACTCTTGGGCCTCAGGAGGTACAAAACAAATGCTGTGTTATTACTGCAAATAAGTGAGGGAACTTCCAACCTGTATTGGACTGACATGACATTGCTGACTTTTTCTTTTTTTCTTTCTTGTGTTTGGTAATAAAATGAGCAAAGTGACACAAAATGATGTATTTTCCTTAGAATGAGTGGCACATCACAGATTCAGTATCTCTGTGAAAGACACTGCTACATGTACTGGTTCCACCAACTCTGCCTGCCCTAACTCACCATACTTTGTCCTAATGTTTTGTGCAAGAGGAGTGTTGCTACCTTCTTTCCAAGCTAAGTGATCTTCAGGGAACTTTAAAGTCCGTTTTGTACTACAGATTCTGGGACAGTGGTTCACCCAGGCGCCAGATACTGGTGTGTTTTGGATTCTTTATAGGACAGACTGTGATAGACGTTCAGGCCTGGCACAGTTATGTGGATCCCTCAGATGCAGCGGAGCAGTCAGCTGAGCAGGCTGTTCATTGCAGCCTAGAGTAGTGTACAACTTGTTGAAAGAAATTAATAGGTCTAATCCAACATCCACACTTTAGAGAAGGATCTCATGTTTATTGGAATTTACAAGATACTTCCGAGAATGTGGTTAGGGCACTCACACAGTTCTTTCTGAATTGCGACAGAGTGTTTATGGCAGCAGTGAGTTAAAGTGAGTTAAGCAGTTATGTGTGTAAGTGCGTAAATTAAGCATGAACTCAGAGTTTGGTGATTTTAGGCACTCATCACAATCAGGGGAACCTCTTATTCCCTGACATGCCTTTTTTTTTTTGTATCTTCCATAATGATGAGGTACCTGTTTCAGTTCACAAATAGACTTTCACCATGAAAGTCTGTTTCTTTTATATTTTCTACTCAGAGTTATAGTAAACAACATCAGGATAATACCCATACTAGTTTTACTATGAAATAGTTTTGTGAAATTTTTTATCCCAGAGCAAGTCCAGATAGCTGTCTCTTTTCTCCTTCCTTTTTTGGGGGTGCATGATGGGCATGCAGTTGGGGCAGATAGAGGTTTTTGCCCCAGCTGCCGTGAAGGGGCTGTGAAGTGGAGAGATGTTGAGTCTTTTTTTGGCCTGTACCGAGTCTTAGCTGATAAACTGCGCTGAGAACTAATCAACATTTTATTTGAGGCTGGTTCAGTGAGCAGGTTTTCTCTAGTAGCAGCATTAAATTGTAAGCTAATTTTTGCCAGAATGTTCTTACAGGAAGTTTGTAAGCATTATATGCTCCATTTGTTGCACAATAAAAAATGTGTCTTTTCCAAGAGAATGATGCCCACAGATCTTGGTATAATTTGTTTAATGTTTACAGTTGTTAATTTCCTCTTTTTCTTGCGTGGGAAACCATTAGTTTTATTGTTAATCATAAGGGAAATTTGAGTCTATAAAGGGGAAACTAACCAAAGTCTTCTAGAAAAACTTGCTGCTTGATACTCTAAAATATGAAAGTGTTCAAATGCACAATGGTTGAATATTGTTCTAGAAGGGTACATTATTCTAGCACAGTGGTCTTCAAACATTTAAAAGGAGAACTTTTTTTCCAGTATTATTATTATAAATAGGACCCAATCCCAAAGTGGGAAGAGTCACTCACCAGCTGCTCCAGCTGTGGAACACATGAAGGCAGATCCTTCCTCCTGCCCTCCCTGCAAGGAGATGAGTTTTCCTGTTGAAATTTTTCCTCCTCATTGCCCCCTGGGGGCTCTCTCAGTATTCAGGTGCTGAACAAAATTTTGATGCATTTTATTTGCAAGCTTTAGCTCTTTTTGTACTACAGTCTCATTGTTTCATGCTTACAGTGTTTGTCACCCTTTTGTATTTGACCTTAATTCTCACATTTTTTCCAACTTTAAATGACTTGTGCAGGCATACGTGTCTAGAGTTTAGGGATGAGGCAAAACTTACCTCTTGCATACCAACTCTGATTAGTGCTGACAGGAACATTATCCTGATGAAGTGAGGGGACCCTCCAGGCTCTAAGGGTAGGAGTCTGCATGTAGTTGGGAGATGTGTGTACTATTGGCAAATATTTGCCTATGACTTCCGCCTTCTTTTAGTATTGACACCTGTTGTGGTTATAGTCCATTGCATTTGAAAGAGTCCTCTTCTCTTTTAGAATCTTCCCTATAGTGAAATTGGGTCAATTTCCTGTGAATTTTTTTTTTCTTTAACATTTATTTATTATTGAGAGACAGACACAGAGCGTGAGCAGGGGAGGGGTAAGGAGAGGAGGAGACACAGAATCTGAAGCAGGCTTCAGGCTCTGAGCTGTCAGTGCAGAGCCCGATGCAGGGCTCCAACTCACAAACGGTGAGATCATGACCTGAGCCAAAGTCAGTCGCTTAACCAACTGAGCCACCCACGCGCCCCAATTTCCTGTGAATTCTTTCACATTTTCTGCTTTAAAAATCTAGTGTATGTATTTATGTTCAAGTCACTCTCCCCTTAGCTATTATTAAAACCGATAAGGCTAGGCTGGGTTATACTGTAATAACAACCCCCAAACTTCAGTGGTTTAAAGCAAGTGTTTAATTTCTGCTCTCTCTGGGTTATCTGGGAGCTTTGCCTTATGTTGTCCTCTTTCTGAGACTTGGTTCAACAGAGAAGGCCTCATTTTTTTTTTCATTTTTAAAAAATTTTTATTCATTTTTGAGAGAGAGCACAAGCTGGGTTGGGGCAGAGAGGCAGGGGGGAGGGAGGGAGACGGAGAATCTGAAGCAGGCTCCAGGCTCTGAGCTGTCAGCACAGAGCCCGAAGTGGGGCCCGAACCCATGAACTATGAGATCATGACCTGAGCTGAAGTCGGATGCTTAATCGACTGAGCCACCCAGGTGCCTGAGAAGGCCTCATTTTGAGTGTTATCATTCATTATAGGAGAAGAAAAGTGAGTTGTGATTCATGAAATGTATATATTGACTCTTTCTTTAAAATTTTTTTAATGTTTATTTCCTAAGAGAAAGAGAGAGACAGAGCATGAGTGGGGGAGGGGCAGAGAGAGAGAGAGGGAGACATGGAATGGGAAGCAGGCTCCAGGCTCTGAGCTGTCAGCACAGAGCCCGACGTGGGGCTCGAACTCATAAACCATGAGATCATGACCTGGCAGAAGTTGAGTGCTTAACTGACTGAGCCACCCAGCCCCCCCCCCCCCCATGTATATTGACTCTTTTTTTAAAAAAAATTTTAATGTTTATTTATTTATTTTTTTATTTTTTGAGGGAGGGAGAGAGAGAGCATGAGCAGCGGAAGGGCAGAGAGAGAGAGAGACACAGAATCCTAAGCAGGCTCCAGGCCTCTGAGCTGTCAGCACATAGCCTGACCCAGGGCTTGAACTTATGAACCACAAGTTCATGACCTGAGCCAAAGTTGGATGCTCTACCAACTGAGCTACTCAGGCACCCCTATATTGACTCTTAAAAGCTCCCAGAAGTTACATATGTCACTGTACATTTCATTGGCCAAATCAAGTCACTTCCTATTTCAAGGAAGTGGAGAAGTACAATTTTAACATGTGTAGAGAACTAGAAACATTTGAACAATCCACCATGTTTGTCAACAGATATTCTCCTTCTTACATGTAATTCATCTTTGGCCCTTCCCAATGGATATAGCCCTCAAATCCCATTCAATCACTGTACCAAGCTCAACAGTCCAGGATCTCTAAGTAATGCCCAGTAGTGTTAATGTCTTAGGACATTACAAATTACCTGTTTCCCACCTCCACTTGGATACATAGGATAGTGTAGGGACAAATAACTATAATACATGTGCCAATTTGGAGAGGGGAAGAATGGAAGACATACACCAGACTTTAGACTGTAGCAACTTTGAAATATCACTGGGCAGATATTGTTAGGGCTTTTGTTCTGTTCACTGGTTTCTCTAGGTCAGTGCTTCTCAAACTATCTGCTAAGAATGACCAGTTTTTTAAAATTCCAATTTACTTTGAATTTTTGTTAAATACAATAAAAATGAATTATAAGAAAAATAAAATGAAAACACCTAGCACATGACAAGCCTGTTAAAAATTTTTTAGATTCATGAAACAGAAAACTGTGTAAAAAGGACTATAAAAACTTTTTGACATTTGTTCTCAATTTCTTTATCTCATTATTGTAGACCAGTATCGAATAGTTCATATTCTGGCATATGCCCTGGGGCATAGTTCTCCATGGTCCTTGGCTTTACTCTGCAAGAGGTCTTTCCGTCTTTATTATCTTTGGCCACATCTGAAGTTGGCTTTGGATAGTATGGCCCCTTTCCATGGCTGAGCAGCTTGTCAGCTTGCTCTCTGACAGTAGAAGGGTGGGGGCTAAAAGACTGTGTAAGTATTAACCAGCTAGTCTCTTGGATGGCAGTGGTTCTTTGACTACCTTTCTTTGAATATCTTATTAAACATAACCAACAGCAACTATCACACAGTGTTCATCTTCTGACTACCAGCCTCCTCTCTTAGGGCCATAAAGAGGTTCATTAGCCACACAAGCCTGGGTACATGCTCATTATAAATTCATTAAGTATGTGTCACCTCCAAATTATTATAGTGACCGTTTCAGCAAATGTTTTGTCACTCCTTACTGTGGATTGCCAAGCTCCAGTCTCTGATGAAAGTTTCCTTGATTAGATCCTGAACGGTCCTTGCTTCTTGGCCTCTAAGCCAATGTTTTGGGGTTCTTGTTAAGGTAGCACCTCATTCTAGTTTGTATAATAGTGAAAATAAACTAGATTATGCTGTAGTGATGACCCCTCAAATCTCAGTAGCTTAAGGCAATAAGGTTGATTTCCTGCTAAGTCACATGCTAATTGCAAATCAGTGAGGGTTCTCTGTTGTGCTCATCCTGGGACTCATGCTGAGGAACAGCCACAAATTGAGCATTTTTAATGACTGTGACAGAAGAAAATAAATCCTGCCCTATCACACACTGGCTATTAAATTGTTGCCTGAAAGAAACATGAGCTTTTGCTTACATTTATTAGCCAGATTAAGTCACACAGTGGGCACAGCTAACTCACTACAGGTGGGAGGTGCAGGAAGCTAAGTGTAATCTGAACTTCTACAGAACTGGAACTATTTACCCCATACCAATGAACTACTACACCAAGGTACCAATGTCACATTTCTCAAGGTATTCATCTCTTTATTGATATTTAGATTTTGAATCATTAAGTATTGTTTTCTATTCTGCTTTCTACCTACTGGAGGGAAAAAGTCACCGAGTACCTTTTGTATCTTTGCTTTTACTCTCTTCTTGCTGGTCTTCTCATTCCCCACCCTCTCCCATCAAAATTTCTCTTCTTTTTAATTTAAAGATATTTTTATGTGGAGAACATGTCTCTGGGCAAATGCATTTTATTTTCCATGCATGTGAAATGAACAGTCTTCTGTGGCCCCACAAGGATAGGTTGGATTAATATGAGTAGAAGCTATGGAAAATTTGATTACATACAAGTAACAACTTTAATTCTTATTTTATTTTATTCTAGTGTAGTTAACATACAGCATTGTATTCGCTTCAGGTGTACAGTGTAGCAATTCAACAATTCCATATGTTACTCAGTGCTCATCCAGATAAGTGTATCCTTAATCCCTTTCACCTGTTTCATTCCCCTGCCACCCTCCCCTCTGGTAACTCTTTGTTCCCTGTAGTTGAGTCTGTTTCTTGATTTGTCTTTTTTTCTTTGTTGTTTTGTTTTATTTTTCAAATTCTGCATGTGAGTGAAATCATATGGTATTTGTTTTTCTCCTACTTACTTGCTTAGTATTATACCCTCTAGATCCATCCATGTTGTTGCAAATAGCAAAATTTCATTGTTTATTTTGGCCGAATAATATTCTATTATGTGGGTGTATGTATGTATATATATGTATGTATGTACATACTTACATATGCATACCACATTTTCTTTACTCACTTACCTATGGATGGACACTTGGGCTTCTTCCATAATTTGACTATTGCAAGTAATGCTGCAGTAAACATAGAAGTGCATATATCTTTTTATATTAGTGTTTTCATATTCTTTAGGTAAATACCCAATAGTGCAATTACTGGATCATAGGGTAGTTCTATTTTAAATTTTTTGAGGAACTTCCGTACTGTCTTCCACAGTAGCTGCACCAGTTTGCATTCCCACCAACAGTACATGAGGGTTCCTTTTTCTCCACATCCTTGCCCATAGTTGTTGTTTTTGAGCTTTGATTTTAGCCATTCTGACAGGTTCGAGATGACATCTCATTGTGGTTTTGATTTGCATTTGCCTGATGATGAGTGATGTTGAGCGTATTTTCATGTGTCTGTTGGCCATCTGTGTATCATCTTTGGAGAAATGTCTGTTCATGTCTTCTGCTCGTTTTTAAATTGGATTACTTGGGGTTTTTTGTTTTTTTGTTTTGTTTTGTTGGTTTTTTTTGGTTTTTGTTTTTTGGGTTTTTTTGGTGTTGAATTATGTAAGTTCTTTATATATATTTTGGATACTAACCCTTTCTTGGATATGTTATTTGCAAATCTTCTCCCATTCAGTAGATTGTCTTTTAGTTTTGGTAGCTGTCTCCTTTGCTGTACAGAGCTTTTTATTTTGATATAGTCCAAATAGAATGACTTTAACTTTTCAATCAAAATGAAAAGGTATTTAAAGAGTCAGATGGTTTTATATAAGACTTCAAAAGTCCCCTTGGTGTCTTCCCCCTCCAATTTCTTATTCCTTAGGGGGAATTATTTCAATTGTTCCCTATTTCTTTTGGCATTCATCTTCCTGTTTCCAATAAACTTGGCTTTTGGTCTTGTGAAAGTGAAGATTTAGCTCTTTTATTTCTTTTCCCACACTAATTGTATGTTCCCTTACTTTCTTTCTCCCCATCCTCTGAACTGTGGTTGTCATAGATTTGGTTAAATCATTATTCAGTGTTTATTTTATTAAGACCTCATAAACTATATTTCTGGTTGATCTCTGCAATATTCTCTGCTTTAAGTAATTACTTAAATAATCAAATTTATCAAAGATGGAAAAATTGCAAAGGTTATAGTTACTAATGAATTCCTATCCCTGAAAATATGTATGTCAGAATAATCACCAACATCTCTAATTGACCAAATGCGTAGTACTTCAACATCTATAATTTCATTTGTCCAATGAGATAGATGTGGGAAAGTATTCTAGCACTGAATGTGCAGTTAGACCTTTTACTGCTACAAAATTCATTCTAGGGGAAAAAATAATGTGTTAACCCTACTGTCCAATTTAGTGTTAAAATAACTGAATTATAACCACAAGTCCAGGAAAAATTATATTTATACTTGACTCGTTCAAATGTACTTTTACTTAAAAGGTTCATTTTTAATTAGGTTTTGGTTATTTCATATAGTAAATACATTATATAGTTATTCCCTTAGCCTCAGGATGCATGCATTTCCCTTCCCCCCAATAAAGAAAATATTGAATGACCTATTTTAAACCATCCTCATTAATATAAAGTGGCTTTAAAATACACTGGTTTAAAATGGCTAAAATGTGTAATCAATGTTAATGCCAAGGATACTCCCTAATTATATCATTAAAATTACTTTTTTATATGCCTCTCACTCACAGTCCTCACTCATTCTACTTGAATTTTTGAACTCTTGGCTCATTATTAAATATTGATGACAAATTTGTTCACTGATATAAATTAGCTCTAATGAAAAGAATGTTAAGAAGTAATTAGTAATTAGCTCCTTTTTTAGGAATACCTGCTTTTAAAGGAGAGGTATTATATGCTTACTGATCGTATTGAAAGAGCAGATTAAGTATCTAGTACAATTTTCCGTAAATTTTCATTCTTTTATTATTTTATTTCTTACAGAAAGTCTACTCCTCTCATTCTGAGTAATTTTTTGCTATTTTTTTCTGTCTCTTGTTTTGAGATAGTGATCTTTTGTTTGAAAGGTAGGGGTTCTATTTGAAATTAAAAAAAATTAAAAATCTCACCTATACCTGTGGGTATGTCTCTCCCTTCTGGAAGTATGATATTTTTATATTATATTTTCCTAAACTGTCTTCTTTTAGAACTTAGATACTATAGATCATCAGTGGAAAACTTCCTGAAAGAAGAAATTGTCGGAGAGAAATTTGAAAGTGGCAAAATGGGAGACAAAGAATTGACAACAGATGTAGAGGACAGCATGGAAGTAAGTGCAGCATGGAAGAAGAGAGGAGAGTATTAAAACAAGTCTGAGTTCAGAAGGTAGAGTTGAATTAAAACTTGGGTTGAAAAAGATACTTAAATGTCTAAGCTGTGTAAGTCTAAGTCGTATACTTAAAAAAGTGTATTTATGGGGCACCTGGGTGGGTCAGTCAGTTAAACATCTGACTTCAGCTGATCTCACTGTTGGTGAGTTCAAGCCCCGTGTTGGGCTCTGTACTGATGGCTCAAGCCTAAAGTCTGCTTTAGATTCTGTGTCTCTCTTGCTCTCTTTCTCTCTGCCCCTCTCCCACTTGTGCGTGCGCGCACTCTCTCTCTCTCTCTAAAATAAACATTAAAAAATTATAAACAAATAAAATTAAAACTATATTTAGAAGGAACGTTATTAGTTTTTTTAATATGAAATTTATTGTCAAATTGGTTTCCAAGTTTTTTTTTAATTTTTATTTACTTTTGAGAGAGAGAGAACATGCATGCATGCATAACAGGGGAGGGGAAGAGAGAGAGGGAGACAGAGGTTTCTAAGCAGGCTCTGTACTGATAGCTGCTAGCCCCATGTGGGGTTCCAACTCATGAACTGCAGGATCGTGACCTGAGCCAAAGTTGGTCGCTCAACCAACTGAGCCACCCAGGTGCCCCTTAAATAGTTTTAATAGCTATCTTCCAGGAAATTTAAAGTAAAAAGAATGTAAACATAATAGATGTAGGTTTTGGATGCCTCACTCCCATGGTAATGGTATGAAATAACTGTTTGAGTATTCATTGTAAATCTACTTTGGGTAGAGAAAGATAAAATGACCAATTTAAAACAAGGATTGGATAAGGTTTGAGACTTAGTTTTAGAACCCTTAAAAATGACAATTAGCTTAACATACTCTAGTAAAGATCTATTAAACATAAAATATTTCATATTGTATTTTCTGGATATCTTTGATATCTTTTGCAAGTATCCAGAATCAATCGTATTATCAAATCAATGTCATTATAGATATCCCTCTCAAATGTTTACTAGAAGGAAATAGGAAAGTATTAACAAAATCAAATACGTAAGTAATGTCTTACATTATTCTTCTTGCAGATTTTACTTCATTCATTTGTTTAACAAATTTATTCAGCAAAACTTTGTTGAATACCTACCGTTGCTAGGTATTGTCCTAGGCAACAGAACACAGCAGTGAACAAAACAGACAAAAATCTCCTGCCCATGTACAACTACAGCTGATGATGTCTTCCAGTTTCAATATATATAGAGTTGGCATCTCTTTTGTCATGATGTGCATTTTTTATAAGTCAGCAGTAGACTCTCTATCAGAACTGAGCCCACAGAAATACTTCAGTACATTGCAACCGGGAAAAGCCTCCTTAGCTTATTTTTGTCAAGCCGGTAAGTATTTTTTATATTCTGACGTGATTTTTGTGATGTTTCTCTTGCTGTTTAATCAGTAGTATTGCTGGGATACTGTCAAAATTAGTATTATGTGCTATAAAGCTGTTACTAAAATATATATGCCTGAGTTTAAATCATGATTGTGCCAGTTGACCTTCTGTGTGATTTTGGTTAAATCACTTAGCCTCTCTGTGTTTTTGTTGTCATCCATAATGAGGAAATAATACTTTATAAATTTGTTGTGAGGATTAAATGACTTTATTCATGTGACTTAGTCTTTAGTAAATACCAGATAAGAATTAGCTATTAGTAGAGTAACACCTGAATTTCATCCAGTCCTTTAAAAAAATTTTTTTATAACGTTTGTTTATTTTTGAGAGAGAGAGAGACAGACAGAATGTGAGTAGGGGAGGGGCAGAGCAGAGAGAGAGGGAGACACAGAATCTGAAGCAGGGTCCAGGCTCTGAGCTATCAGCACAGAGCCTGTTGTGGGGCTCAAACCCATGAACCGCAAGATCATGACCTAAGCTGAAGTCCGATGCCTAACCAACTGAGCCACCCAGGTGCCCCTCATCTAGTCATTTCTGAAAGTATACTTCTTGATATTTTTAGCAAGTGGATATGTTTAAAGTATTTTAAAACTTTAAGTGAAGAATTAGTAATGCTTTTATTTAATACTCTGCTTTAGTATACCATTAATTACACTGATTAACCAATGTAAGTATTGAACATAACTAAAAATGTAATGGTCTCATTTAAGTCTTTATGCCTTAAAAAATACTATTCCTGGAATTAGTAAGTGAAATTAATCCACGTTTCTGTTGGTTCTTATAATTGTGATTTGAATATGGTATTTTAAAATCATTTCAAAAGTTTTGTGCATGTATACATGTGTGTTGTGTATATGGAAACTTGGAAAAATAATGCCGAATGTTAGCTTTGAATTAAACATTTATTTATTCTTATTTTAGAAATTTTAAAAATTCACTTACAAAATTAAAATCATCATAAAAACATTAGAAATAAGAATAATGAGGCAATAAGAAGTAAGGGTATAAAATTATATAACCAGGTATGTTTACTTGATTATTGGTTGTATTGTATATACTTGTTGGGCAAACCAATCCATTTCTTTTTCAGTTTGCAGCTTTGGGCCTTAATTTTAAAAATTCATCTTTCCTAAGGAGCAAGCCATAAAACATTCATAAAACATTTCTTATTTTAGATTCTCCAAGAACTTCCATATTTCTTGAAGAACTGAATGAGGCTGTTAAACCTCTCCAGGACTTTGGAATTTCAGTTGCAAAGGTAGAAAGATATTTTTTTGTTACTAAATTTTTAGTGACAAACATTTTATAATTATATGACTTAATGCTGAGTATCTAAAAATACTTACGTTTCAGATCTTTTTCCAAACTGGAAAAATATTTTTTTTCTATGTTTTTTTCATAAGAAAAAACAGAAGCACAGAAGATACTTCCAGATTATGGTGTAAATTAGTACATGTAGATAAAGAAAAAAGCTGTTCAGAATTTTTTGTTAGCTTAGAACTTAATTTGTTTTATAAACTGTTTCAGTTTTTAATGCTATACTTAGGCTTTTTTGCTTTGTTTTGCCTGACAAATATAGTAGATCTCCACATTCAACTATTTATTAAATTTCTATTAGCACAAACTGAAGTATCAAAATTGAGGCAATTGAAGTATTTTTTGTTTTCTGTTCTTCTAAGTCTTTATAATTGCTTATGTTGCAGTTTTTCCTTTATTTTCGGGACAAAGTCAAAACAGCCTAACTTGAAATGACGTATTTAATTTTTTTCTCAAAAAATGTTCAAACTTGCCATGGAGTATTATGGAAAATTTCCACATGCATCATGGATTAGATAGCTACATGAGCTTTTCATTTACTTTAATCTTAGAATTTGTACCTCAGAAAATTGAATGATTAATAACCCAGTGATTATTAAATTCTGTCAGATTAGTGTCTACCTGACTTTCTGTGTACATTTATTCTTTCTTAGTTCATTAGCCTTCTGCTTCTGAGAGATGGCTGCTGACCCACTTGGTCCCTACAGCTAGAGTTCCCAGGGCAGGAAGCATAGAAAGGTTAACTAACCTTGCCTTTTATTAAAGGGAAACTCTTCCCTCTATCCACAGAACACTTCTGACATCAAATGTGTGAGTTTTCTACACCAGTCATTTATCATACTGACCACCCATGTAACCCAGATCTCACAGGTTAAGGGCTTAGTCCTATAAGATTGCCCTCTACTTCAGATGCCAATCATAGGGAGTAGATTCTTAGGTTGCCTACAACTTCTGTCTGACTTGGCTATAAACTGGGAGCTCTCAAAACCCCCTCCTTGCTTGTTCAATAATTTGCTGTAATGGCTCTCAGGACTCAAGAAAACACTTTGTGTACTATTACTGGTTTATTATACGTGATAGAACTCAGGAACAGCCAAATGTAAGAGATGCATATGGCAAGGTGTGGAAGCCTTGAGCACAGGAGCTTCTGTCCTCTTGTAGTATGGAGTGTTTCACCTTCCCATTACTTAGATGTGTTCACCAGCCTGGAAGCTTTCAAGCCCTGTTATTTAGGGGTTTTATGGAGATTCCATTATGTGGGCACGATTGAGTAAATCATTGGCCACTGGTGATTGGCTTCATCTCTAGCGCAGAGGATGGGAGATGGGGCAGAAAGTTCAATCTTCTAATCATGCCTTTGTCTTTTTAGTGAGCAGCCCCCATCTTGAAGCTATCTAGGGCCCCCCAGTGATCAGTGTTTTAGCATGCAAAAAGATACTCTAGGAGTTTCCAAGGGTCTTAGAAGCTCTTCTATAAGGAACTGGGGTTAAAGACCAAGTGTTAGAACAAAAGATACTCCTAGCCCTCCTGTCACTCAGGAAATAACAAGGGTTTTAGGAATGTGTGAGGAACCAGGGGAAAAGACCAATTCTATATTTCTATGTCACTGCTAAACACTTAAAAAAAAGTCTTTTCTTAATTCTGTATGTAACTGGGTTAACTTTGAACAGCTGATTACACTCTAGAATGATAATGGTGCTCATCTTTGAGGAGCTTTTAATAAAATTCTAGACTAAAGTTTAGAGATGAAATACTAAGTTGGTATGACATTCAAAAGGGATAATCATACTATTTATTTAGTAACTAGTAACTGTATATCTGGTAACTAAAATAGAATATTAAAGTTCATGCCTAGAGTGTTGTTGCCTTTATGAACTAACAAAACGTAAAGTCTTGATTTTACAGTTGAGGATGCTAAGCTGTGTGGAAAGAAGACTGGTGAATAAGGCAGACAAATATTAAGTACCTAGCTCACTCTCTGCACATAATAAATATTTGGTAAATGTTTATGACATTGAAATGAGCTGCTTCATTTAGTTTTTTAGATAGATATGTGATAAAGACCCAGTCTATTTCTTTGGAGAGTTTAGATCCTAAATAGGGGAGTTAAACACAAATCACTTCAATAAGTAGCAGAACATGATCGTTGTAATATGAGATACAGATAAAATGCCACTGAGGTTTAAAGAAGGGAAGCTCATATCTGATTGTCATGGCAGAAGGTCACGTATGGTATTTGGAAAGACTTTACAAAAAGTAGCATTTTGAGATTGTCTTGAAAAGTTAAGATTTCAGGAGGCAGAGGTAGATGAAGAAAACACTAAAAGATAAATGTACTAAATGTTCCAGTTAAGACAAAGATTCCCAAGCTGGGTGCAATAACCAAACCCAAATGTATGCTATTTAGAAATGCATCTTAAAATAAAGTCAGTCTTCAGATATCTTCAAAGTATTGAAGGAAGGAAAAAGATGTATCATTAAGTGATGACCAAAAGGAGGCTGGTATAGTTATCTTACTATATCAAAGTAGACTTTAAAACAAAAAACCTTTGAATCATATTTGACTTTGTCATAACCAACCCATCAATAAACCTTTAGGTTCTACTATCAAAACTTCCCAAATCTTAGCACTTCCTGCACCTCCACTTTGACCCCTGTTGTCCAGACCTTCATGACTTCTCATCTGGGAAACTACCATAGCCTTCTAATAATTGGCCTTTCTCCTTTCACTCTTGTCCTACTAAATTCTTCTCTATGCATAAGTCAAATGTGTCAGGTCACATTGCTACTCCTCCAAAAGGCTTCCTGTTACAGTTAGGATAAACTTGAAACTCTTCACTCTTATGGACACTGGCTTCCTCTCATTTCTTTTTCTGCCTCTCCAACCTGCGCAGTTTGTTCCTGACACCTACAAGTCATCTTTTTGTTACCTGAACCTGCTTGATGTATTATTTCTACAAGGCCTTTGCAAGTATTTTCTCTTCTGTCAGAACTCCTCTTTTCAACATACTTATATAATAGTATGCATCACTACTTTGCTTCAGTTCTTTGTGCAAAGGTCACCTCCCCTCCCCCTGCCAAGCCTTCCTTGATTACCTGTATAAAATGTCCTGTTACATACTATCCCTTTAGTGTTTTTTTAATTTGTGGGACTTAATGCTACATATTAATTAGTTTTTAAAATTGTCTGTCTCTACTTTTAGAATGTAAGTTCTAAAGATAAAAATCTTTATTTGGAACTTAATTGTGCCCCCAGTGACTAGAAGAGTGACTAACATATGGTAGGTGTTCATATATATGTTAAATGGCTGAATGGAAAAAAAATCTATTGTCCTAATGTCAACCATCCCCTATGCTCTGACTTAAAAAAATTTTTTTTTAGTGTTTATTTTTGAGAGAGAGAATGCAAGCAGGGGAAGGGGCGGGGTGGGGTGAACAGAGGATCTGAAGCAGACTCTATGCTGACAACAGAGAGCCCAATGTGGGGCTCGAACTCACATACCACGAGATCGTGACCTGAGCTGAAGTTGGCCACTCAACTGATTGAGCCACCCAGGTACCCCTAAAGAATTCTTTAAAAAGTTACATATGCTAAAATTCACTCTTTTTGGTTATGGCAGTATTCCAACTTTTAATTCTAATTTCTCTATTCCTGATATTTTTTTCTGAGTATCAGTTCTCCTTTTGTAGCTTTTGAAAACAAATGTAGCTTCCCTAGTTGTCATTCTGCTTCCTCAAACTCCATTAAAATTAAATTGAATGACACACATACAAAACAACCAACCCATTTAAAAAACAAAACCAAAACTTACAAAATCTAAAATGAAATGACTGTTTTTCTTCTAACCTTAGTTTAGTGCAAATTTTGTTGGTGGCTACCCTTTGCCCCATCTAGAAACCTCTTCATTCTTTTTATCTCCTTCTTTTTTCCTTTATTCCCTACTGCATACACATGCTCAGTCTTCTCCCTAGTTTTACTTACTGTATTGGTGAGAAATCTCTCAAATCTTTTCTGTCCTTTTCTGCTTTACTTCAGATCTCATTCATCCTTGCCCTGTACTGAGGTGATACTCATTTAACTTTCCTGCTTATCTTTGTGTTTCCTTGCCTTCCGTTACATCTTCACGTTGCTGTTTCTGTTGCATCATCCTCAGCAAGGGTTTATCCTTTAAAGATGCTTCATGGTCCGTAATTACTGCTGGCACTGTCTTGTCTGTTTTTTGTCAGGAAGAAGTAGGAAAAGTGTAAGTCAGCTCTTCTTTAAGAACCTTCTTTGATCCGACCCCAGTAACTTCTCCCTAACATTGTTTGGCCATCTATAGTTGTTGGGGAACCTGGAAAAGTCTTTCACTGGGGGCATTTGTGTTTAGGGAAGTTCTGTTAATAAAACAAAAGGGAAGGATGGATTTTGGATAAGAAACCAGCAGTGGGGCATCTGGGTGGCTGAGTCAGTTAAGCATTTGACTCTTGACTTCAGCTCAGGTCAAGATCTTGTGGTTCATGAGATTGAGCCCCATGTTGGGCTCTACACTGACAGTGCGGGGTCTGCTTGGGATTGTCTCTCTCTCCCTGTCTCTCTCTGCCTCTCTCTCTCTCTCTCTCTCTCTCTCAAAATAAACAAATGTTTAAAAAGAAAGAAAAAAAAATAGAAACCAGCAGTATCTGCCGTACCTGTGTTCCAGCTGCTGAGATGCTTTCATGCTCTCAACTTACCACTTACTTCTGCTTCTTGGCTTTCGCTCATGATTTTTTGTCCTGCCTAAATGGTTTCTTTCCTTTTCTACCTGGTTACCTCGTACTTGTTCCATAAGATTGAATTAAATTTGGGGCGCCTGGGTGGCGCAGTCGGTTGGGCGTCCGACTTCAGCCAGGTCGCGATCTCGCGGTCCGTGAGTTTGAGCCCCGCGTCGGGCTCTGGGCTGATGGCTCGGAGCCTGGGGCCCGTTTCCGATTCTGTGTCTCCCTCTCTCTCTGCCCCTCCCCCGTTCATGCTCTGTCTCTCTCTGTCCCAAAAATAAATAAACGTTGAAAAAAAAAATTAAAAAAAAAAAAAGATTGAATTAAATTTAAACTCTTAAGTATAATTAAATATAACTCTTAGGTATAGAAACACTTTCTTTCTCTGAGGTAACCCACTTGAATAAATGAGCAATTATAGGATACAAATCAGAAAGAAAGGTAAAATAAAAAATGTGAGGGGATCCTGGGTGGCTCAGTTGGTTAAGCGTCTGACTTCAGCTCAGGCCATGATTGCACAGTTCACAAGTTCAAGCCCTGCATTGGACTCTGTGCTGACAACTCAGAGTCTGGAGCTTCCTTCAGAGTCTGTCTCCCGCTCTCTCTGCCCCTCCCCCACTCGTGCTTGCTCTCGCTCTCTCTCAAAAATAAACATTAAAAAAAATTTTTTTTTAATTTGCCCTGGAGACAGATTTTACTGTTTAATTTTCCTTCTTGTTTCCATAACCAAGAAACTTGACCTTTTGATATATACTCTAAACCTTAAATATAATCTTTTAAAGGTTAATTGTGTCAAAGAAGAAACATCAAGATACTGTGGAAAAGAAAAGGATTTGATGAAAGTGTATTTATTCAGGTAAACTGTTTTTGAGTGTGATAGCCAAATTAAAGCTATACTTCTAGAATATTAAAATATATAAAATATCACTAAGCCAGGATAAAGTTGTATGCATGGGGGATTATATGAAGTTTAGCAAATGGTCTGAGTCCTAGATTTGTTATCTGAACTTTAGCTTCTTTAGCTATAAAATTAGTTAAAATAGGTATAACAGCTACCTCACAGACTTGTTTTGAATATTACATGAGAATTCTTATGTAAACTACTACTATAAGTGCCTGGAAAGTAAGCATTTAACAAAGTTAGTGTTTTGAGTAGATCTGTCAGGTCCATATTTGGGTGCGAAAGAAAGGTATTTTTGAGACATCTGCCAATGTCCCAGTTACAGATTCCTCTCCACTTTGGTCTCCTAGTCTCTCTGAAGTTTCTCAAAATCTTTTTGTCAAACTCTTGGGATTTGGCCTAAGAAGTGAGGACAGATACTGTCTCCTCAGACCAATTGCTGAGGACACTTGTTTGTCTCTCCTATTTGTCTCCTTCCCAGCCCATTTAGGGAATCTGTGTGTATGTGACAAGGAGGTTGGTAGGAAGCTGTGTTGAGACTCATGTGTTTTCCTAGTTTTTTTTGCCAAGTTCTGGGCCTACACTCTTCCAAGTCAACATATTTATTGAACGTATATTCAATAAATATTTGTGCATATTTTACCGTCAGCACGCTGATAGGTGAATGGGATAATGGATAACACCCAGGCTGTTAACATCAAAGAACTTACAACCTACTGTATTAGAGAGACAAGAAAAATGAGTTCCGGGGAAATATTTCTGTAATGCTTTTTTAAAATTTTTTTATAGGGGCAACATCTTACTGAGAGAATTCCCTACTGATACCTTGTTTGACGTGAATGCCATCATTGCTCATGTTCTCTTGTAAGTATAGGGGGTACTCATTCACTTATTGTTAACAATCTCTTGATTTCATTTTAGAAAACCACAACCCATTAAAATATTTTAGGGTTTTAACATTATATTCATAGGCATTAATTTCACACAAATTACTGGTCTGTCTTCCTACATAGAAGATCTAAAATTTCTTGACTGGCAAAGGATACAGATACATCTTTGTATAAAAGTAGGAGAGGGCACAGCAGGACCACATGGTCATAGTATTGCTTTTGCTTTTGAATGTACCTGTGAAGTAAGGATTTTACCAGGTAAGAAGTTTGTCTTTGCTGTTCTCACTAGGAGTTTTAAAATGTCTGGCATGCTTCTGACCCCAGCCTGATTTTTCTGGAGTCTGTAGCTCTGTGCCTGGTCAGTAGGTACAGAAACTGTGCAGATAGTCTCAACACACATTGTAGTGTTTACTGAGAGAGAGAGTGAATCTAAATTTAACTTCTATGGCATGGAGTCTTTAGACCTGGGGTTTAGGCCTATGTGGAGTCCATTTGTGCAGTCTCCTCCTGAATGAAGTCTGATACTCTCTTTGGTGACACAGCTGGAAACTACAACTTCATTAGGGACACAAGTTAACGTGGACTTTTCCAGTTTAATGTTGCGCTTGGACTCTTGGCCACTAAGACCTTTGCTGACACTGAGTGTGTTTGTTTTCTGCTTGGCTCCCCTCTTTCTTCTCTCTGACTGGATTCCCGTAAAAATTGGATGAAAGTTAAATGACAAGACACAAAACATAAAGGTGGAAGGTTGTGGTTATCACTTTGCAAATGGATACTTTTAAATGTTCCAGTACTAATTATATATTAATGAAAAGTTCTTAGAACTCGTTGATAACCATGGAGTCTAAGGCCTGTAGACCAAGAAGCCAGTTGTAGAGGGTGAACAATGGCCTTTTGAAGAGGAATTCCAAAGAGCTGCTAGGCTGTGCAGAGACGTCCCCCCCTAGAGAAAGGTGTCTTCAGGGTGGGGGTCATAAAAAGCTTAGCAAAGTCCTAGTTTTAATAGATATGATGCTTGTTCTCAAGAAGCTCCCTAGTTTCTGCCATTTTTACAGTGGATGCCTGATGACAATCTTTGACCCAGATATGAGAGGGTGAAGAGACAGAGAAAGAAGATTCTTTGAGGGTTAGGGAGGCAATACTAAGATTTAAGATTGTCTTTGACAAGTTCGATAGCAAATCCTGGAGCAGCAGGCCCATGTTGGACAACCTGCTGACAAAGTGGTTTTAAAACAATTGGGCCTTAGTGTGGAGAGGCTGTCGATGCTGGGAACTGGTTACCCCATGGGGCTTGTGTCATTCAATCCTGCTGTAGTAGTGTCCTATTCCTAGTGCTGTGCTAATGCTGATTCATAGAATACTAATTCCACAAATAGATGATTCCCCATGTTTCTGCTATGTACCTGATACTCAGTAGGCATTGGGGATACATAATAGAAAAATATATGACTTCTGTTCTCTAGGAATTTAGTGTTTTGTTAGATACATAAATAGAAAATATTATGTAGTAAGTAAAATAGAAGTTTGATGCATAAGGCTTAAGGATCCACAGCATAGAGAATGGTTACTTGTGTCTAGAAGGAGGGTGGATATTTGTTAAGAAGGCTTCCTGATGGAGGTAGCACTTGGGATGACTCTTAAAGGATAAGTGAGGGTTTGCTTGGTGAAGAAACAGAAGGTGGGGAGATCAGGGGACACTGTGAGCAAATGCATAGAGGTTAGAATAGTTTGGAGGGGGCAGTTTTTACTGGAGTATGAAATGTGAAGCAGGACATGAGAGCAGAAAAGTAGGTATGGGGTCAGATGAAGAGATATGTGTTTACCATGTAAAGAAGTTGTGGCTTTTGGGGTAGCCACTGAAGAGTTAGGAGTTCAGCTCCAGGCCAGAATCTTTGTGTCATCTATCAGGCCTGACAACAGGCATTTACAGGCTTTGTCTGGTAGGCCTCATGGGGGAAGGTGTCCTGCCCACACCAGACTTGGTGCATGCCCACTGCATTGCAGTTTTCTAGAGAAAGTTAAGGTCTAACTATCAAGCACCTCACCAGTTCCAGTCCCTGAGGCCAGACATGCTCATGGGTACACCTGTATTTTTAGCCCAAGTGTCTCTATTCGAAGGCCTCATTATCAGGGACCTTGGCTGAGGCACCTCCTAGGTGCTTCCACTAAGACCTTATCAAGGGTCTTTGGTTGAGACACGTTTCTCCACTTAGTACCATTCCACTTCTGGCTCCTCCCCCTTTCTTTCTCCTGAGCCCCAGAGTCCATAAAGAGTCAGGAGCCATTTGTTTGGGGCCCCTGGGAATGCAATGCCTCCCTGCACCTGAACTACACCCATATGACTCTGGCCTAATGCCAACCCATGGTCAGTGGGGCAAGGAATGGAACATTGTGGAGCTGGTGCCTCTCTTTTGGCCTCTGGCTCTTGCTATCACAGTAGGTGAATAAAGGCTTGATTGTTAAGTTTGGCTCACTGTCCTAACTGACCACCTCAACACTTGATTGCTCAACAGAGGATTTTAGGCAGATAAGTGATATGATCAGAATAGTACTTGAAAGCTTTTTCTGGTGGGTGTGAGACAGATTTGTGAAGTCCAAGCACACATAGAAACCATTGTGTGTCCATTATGTAATCTAGGGAGATAAAATAAAGATAGCAAAGAGGGGATTTTCTTTTTAATGCTTAGGAGGTGAAATTAACTGGATTTAGTAAAAGTTAATTTGCTTACAATCATAAAACTACAAACTCTAGTTAATCCCTAATCTCTTCTTTTCTGTCTTTCCAATCTCACTCTATCCCAAATCCTTTCTGATCAACATCTGAAGTAGGCAAGGAAGGACAGGTTTACAGGGGAAGAGGAATCTACTTTAACAAGGGAATGCCCATCAGACCTGAGTCTAGAGTAGGCAGCTGTGGGGATTTGAGCCCTCGGGGAGTACAGGTCTAGGTGTTGTCAACATACAAGTTATCCAGGGAGCATTCTACACAAGACCAACACTTATGGGAAGAAGAAACTGAGGGGGAAAAATAAATTTCAAGAAAGAAGAATTGTAAAGAGGTAATGTCCTCATTTTAATTTAAAATGTAAGAAAAATGACTTGTGAAATATAGTATTTTACAAAAATTTTCAGTAGTGATATTTAGAATGTTGAAGGACTGTGTTAAATCGTGTGCCATATCATAGCTGCACCTTCCAAATAACCATGAGGGAAAAAACGCCTTTCATTCTGTCATCCTACTTTTATGTGCTAAAACCATCAGTTTGAAATACCCAGTGTCTGGCAAGAGTTTCTCCCTCGTGTACTCTTTTGCAGTTACGTACTGTTCATTGAAATGAACTGCTGTTTGGTATCTTTTGCCCATTTTTCTATCATGTTTGAACTTTATTCTTATTAACTTCTAGATACTTTATATGAGGGAATCAAACTATCTTTCCTACACCAAGTTTGTCATTTACCTTGTGAATTTCCTTTTTATTTAAAGAATTATCTGTGCAAATTTATCTGTTCTCTTTTGACTTGTAAATGATACGCTTTACTGTGGTTTCCTTTATGCCATTGCTACAAAGGAATTTACCCCTTTAAAAAAATGAATAGCTTTTGGTTTTTCATTTATTTATTTTTTATTTATTTTTAAAATATTTTTCCAATTTTATTATTTTTTTGGTTTCAAGATTTAAAAAAAAATTTTTTTAATGTTTATTTATTATTGAGAGAGAGACAGAGCATGAGTGGGGGAGGGACACAGAGCGAGGGAGACACAGAATCCAAAGAAGGCTTCAGGCTCCGAGCTATCAGCACAGAGCATGACATGGGGCTCGAACTCACAAACCATGAGATCATGACCTGAGCCGAAGTCGGACACTTAACCGACTGTGCCACCCAGGTGCCCCAGTTTCAAGATTTTTAAAAAACACTTAACTGATTTTATTTATTTTCAAGTTTTTAATTTAAATTCTAGTTAGTTAATACATAGGATATTTGGCTCCATCCATGTTGTTGGAAATGACAAGATTTCATTCTTTTGATGGCTGAATAATATTCCATTGTGTGTATATACTACATCTTCTTTATCCATTCATCAGTTGATGGACATTTGGGCTCTTTCCATAATTTAGCTATTGTCCATAGTGCTGCTATAAACATAGGGTGCATGTGCCACTTCAAGTCTGTATTTTTGTATCCTCTGGGTAAATACCTATTAGTGCAATTGCTGGGTTGTAGGGTAGTTCTATTTTTAACTTTTTGAGGAACTTCCATACTGTTTTCCAGAGTGGCTGCACCAGTTTGCATTCCCATCAACAATCTAAGAGGGTTCCCCTCTCTCCACATCCTTGCCAACATTTGCTGTTTTGTGTATTGTTATTTTTAGCCATTCTGACAGGTGTGAAGTGATATCTCATTGTAGTTTTTTTTTTTTTTAATATTTATTTAGTTTTGAGAGAGAGAGAAGAACAGCACGAGTGGGGTAGGGACAGAGAGAGAGGGAGACACAGAATCCAAAACAGGCTCCAGGATCTGTGCTGACAGCACAGAGCCTGATGCAGGGCTTAAACTCGTGAACCATGAGATGATGACCTGAGTTGAAGTCAGGCACTTAACACCCTGAGCCACCTAGGCACCCCACTCATTATAGTTTTGATTTGCATTTCCCTGGTGATGAGTGATGTTGAGCATCATTTCATGTGTCTATTGGCCATCTGTGTGTCTTCTTTGGAAAAATGTCTATTCATGTCTTCTGCCCATTTCTTAACTGGATTATTTATTTTGGGGTGTTGAGTTTGATAATTTCTTTATAGATTTTGAATACTAACCCTTTATCAGATTTGTCGTTTACAAATATCATCTCCCATTCCGTAGGCTGCCTTTTAGTTTTGTTGATTGTTTTCCTTCACTGTGCAGAAGCTTTTAATCTTGATGAAGTCCCGATAGTTCATGTTTGCTTTTGTTTCCCTTGCCTCCAGTGACATGTCT